CCGAGGTTTAGCTAGATAGCATTGCAAGCCGACCTCAAATTTCTTACGCAACTTCTCTAGGGACTCTGCTACGCATCTGCACGCTCTAGGCCTGAGCAAATTGATCCTTCGGCATCGGGAAGAGCAAGTAACGCCCGGAGTACGGAGCATTCCTCAGACGAAGAACAGTTCATACGCACCGGGGGCCCCTGTGTCTTCCGCTCCAAGTTGCCCATCCGGCCGCCCCTGGTCAGCCACTCGTCTTTAGTGCGCCAGGCCAGCACAAGCCCCAAGAGGAAGGCACATACACCTACAAGTCATTGAGAGTCTGATTGGCCAGACCCCTGGATGATCTACATCAGCTTACAACCTCTTGGTGGAAAAAGCAACAGTTAATGAAAGGCGAGCGTCGCTACATCTAAGGCGGTGCCAACCATCGAAGAACATCAAAGTCGAACAAACGCACTTCTCTACATCGTCGATTCCGCATGTCTAGCTGCAGTACACCCACAACACTAGACATTGGGAGTACAGCACTAATGCTGCAGCTCTCGCTCGCCCTTCCGTCATCTTGTCTCTGTCGTCCCGCGCCATAGGTCTAAAAGAGGCGTTTGATTGTTACGCAGAGTACAATCCAGAGTCTCGCATTTCGACAGACTGTACGAACTGCAATGCCCAAGCACACTACTCTGTCATAGCCTGGCTGGCTCGCTTAAACCATCAATCGTCATCTTCCAGTCATTTGACTTGAGTTCTCGCGCGCTTCAAGGCACTCGGCAAGGAGACAGGCTTTGAAGGTTGCAAATTTGGTAGCCTCATCAACAGGGTGGCTTGCCGCCGTTCTCTCATTGAGAAGCACCCAGTGCATAGAGGCGTGTATTTTAACCAAAGAACGCCGCAATTGTCTCGAGCGGTTGTCTTTGCGAAAGTCATATTTCGTTCAACGAGTGAACTGTGAGGTTGGGAGGCTTACCAGTCGGAGTTTGGTGACAGCAGAGCCCACTTATTGCCGTCCGTCCCCGAGTGAGACATCTGAGTTTGAAAGACATAATCCTAGGAACGGTGGCATTCCTTGACATTTGAATGGCCTTCGTCTCTGTACCCGAACCCAACACAAATCTCGATTTCCGATCAGCGTCGTTCTAGATCTCGACAATTGTTGCTCTTCTTTCTGACAACCTAGGAATCCTAGGCCTAAGAAACGTGCTCGATTCAGTCTCTGTTCCTATGACGCTCATCAGATTGGCAAGTATACACGACTTCTGTCTCCGAGCCGTTGAGCAATTGTCACCATCCGGCACGGCCTACTGCAGATCTTACTCTTGAGAGAGCCTCGTATATCACCACTGACAACCTGTCAAACGTCTTTCTATACGCACTGCTGACCTGTTCACGGCTACGTCGTAGTCGTGGCTGCCTTTCCAGGCTCGACGAGCGTCGTCGTGCCGGGCTATCAGCCCGGCGCGGTGAGCAGTAGACACCAGCAGCGTCATCTTCACTCGCTTTCCCATTCTCATCCTGCCGTTCCTCGCCCACCACAACACTTCGCACACCAGCTCGAGCAGCATGTGGACGACGATCTCTCCTCTTCTTATACAATTAGTCCTAATAATTACACAACCGCACCACAAGAGGAACTTGAGGCGCCACCTGTCAAACGCTTAAAGACAGGATACGAAGAAGATATGCGCAGGGCCGCCAACTCGTCCAAGGTACCTGACCAACCACGGACTACTGCTGGAAGACAGGTCTACGCAAATGACCTGGTGACCGGACCAAGGACAATGGAGAGGAGGACAACTGTGGGACATGTCACCGGAGGCCCAACGAAAGCGGGAGGAACGGGAGCCGGCGGCGGCAGTGGGCCCGCAACGGTCGTACCCGTGGTAGCATCCAGCAAACCGAAGCGTGTTCGCACAGGTTGCTTAACGTGTCGAGAACGACACCTCAAATGCGACGAGGGAACTCCGGACTGTCTGAACTGCCGAAAGAGCAACCGAGAGTGCAGACGTGGCGTACGCCTGAACTTCATAGACATCCAAGTCAAAAGTCCGCCATACATCCCCCCAGCGGTCGAATGGAGTGGTACGTATCTCCCGTACAACGTAGCGAGTGAACGCTGTAAGGTTTTCTCCGGCAGCGTACATTGAGAACTGACATTGGTGTAGTGCAATTTCAGGACGAGTCACGTCTCATAGCCTCCGAATACCAGGGCGGCCTGGGCCTTTATACACGGTTAGATCATCAAGATATAACACCACCCCGAGAGACTGATTTGGAGGCCGTCTTGCGGCAACAAACGAAAGAGAACAATTCTGGGCCCAACGCGTTCATAGACGGCGGCCATAGGACACAACAGATACAAGGAGCCCGAGGACTGTATTATTCAGGCAATATGCAATTACCAAATCATGTGGATTTTTCAGGATATGAAGGTTCTCAGCAACAGAACACATCACGGAAGAATAGTGATGCATATCTGTCAACGGGGCCTGGGCCCTCTCTAGCAGCAATGCACTTAAATACTGGAACAGGAGCTGCGGGCGCTGGATTCAGCCTCTCGGCATTGCAGGATCAACACTTCGCCTCACGAGGCGAACTTGCTCCAGGAAATCACAACTATAAATCAAGTGATGTTTCGAGCGTTGCGTCCTCACTTGTCCCCCAAGGCGTTGCACCGTCATCGTCCGAATCATTCCAAGGAGGACCCGGCGGAACTGGGCTAGATGTTCACGATGCTCTCATAATGCCTGAAGGCGACAAAGCTACTGGTGAACGAGACTTTCTCAATTCTGAAGAAGAGATTCATTACATGCATGTCTTCATCGAAGAAGTTGGGGTGTGGATGGACAGCTTGGACAATAACAAGCACTTCAGCAGAATTATCCCATACCTAGCCCTGAAATCGCCAATGCTTCTTAACGCATTCCTCGCATGCGGTGTCAAGCATCTCACTCTTGTCAATTCTCAATACAACGACGATAGGGCCTTGTTTTATTATGATACGGCTACGACACAACTTCTTCGCAGTCTGCAGAACCCGGATCGTAACACGGCTGAATGCGCCACCACCGCAGTTGTTCTGAACGTTTACGAGATCATGAGTGAGAAGCCAACTGCACGAATGAGCCATATTGCTGGCGCGCGCGCCCTCATCCGAGAGTGTGGATGGAATGCGAAGAGTACCGGAATCGGGGCCGCATGCTTCTGGCTTAATATAGGCATGGAGGTTCTCAGTTGCCTAGCTTTCAACTGGCAAACAGCATGGGACCCAGACCAATGGGGTCTTGACATGGACGTGCTGCTGAATATGGAGGATGGGAACGCGGATGGGGCAGGACGTACCGATCGCATGGACCTCGGCGGAGGGGGTGCCGAGGAACTCTGGGTACATCGCATTTTCTATATTGTTGCCAAGATTGCAAACTTCCGTGCCAATATTCCGAGATTCCAAGAGCCCTCCCCTCACGACGAGCAGGTACGGCTGCAGAGTCGATACACGGAATGGAAACGGTTGAGAGGCCTTTGCGACACGTGGAACAGCAACTGTCCTAGACCTATGCGGCCTTACGGATATGCACCTGCCAACCAATCAAGAACCGGATCAGCGTTCCCGAACATATGGTGAGCATCCTGTCAATGTTTTAGGAGGACAACTTACGTCTAGAAAGAGTACTGACACTGTGATAGGCTTATAAAACGCGCTGCTGTGATCGGCCGCCTTTACTACCACACAGCCATGTGTCTCTTAGCGCAAATCGATCCTCTGTCGTCTCGTGATAATGAACAGAACCGCACTATCCAAATACACCATGCGCACCAGGTGTGTGGCATTGTGGCCCACACCAAGGATCGTGGTGTAGCAAGTGTCGCCATCCGCTCGCTCGCCATTGCTAGCTCGGTGCTCACAAAACGTCATGAACAAGAGGAAGTGATAGACATTCTAGACCGCATCAACAAAGAGACCGGTTGGCGTCTAGGAAAGGTGCATGATGAGCTCAAAAAGGCATGGGGTTGGGAAGGCGTTGCAGCACCAGGTGCTCCCTTGCCGATTCCACAGCCGACTCAGAAGGGCCATGGATCATCCTCTGCACCGATAGCAAAGTCGTTTCTCATTCAACGGCAACAACAACAACAACAAGCTCAGCACCAAGCCCAAGCCACAGGTTCCGGACCAGTGCCAATGGTGACAGCTACAGCGGCAGCACCAGTCCAGGCTCCTCGACCAAGGCCGCTCGTCAACCCCTTACTCGCTCAAGCGGACTTCAATTTACCTAATCACCCGTATCAAAACTGGTACGAGCCCCCCAATCGATCAAACGCAGCCTATAATAGCCAGGGGTTCTGGCCTACTCAGTAATCTGGAACCGAAGACCACTCGCAGAGCGATGGCATACCTAATCCAACCGAAATTCAATACGACAATAATCAGGATACGTGACGCCTTTAAGCATCCTATGGGCGAACCGAGCGAATGGAATATAAACTTAAGCAAATGGACCTACAGTAATGAATGTGCGACAATTCTTCTGTCCAACTACCTCTGCTAAGACATTTTAACATGAAGATCGAAATCATGTACACACATAGACTAGCATCTTGCATTAGGAGACTCACGGCCTTTCTTATGACGGATTTTGCATGAGCCAGGCGGCCTTTGTTTTTTTCATATTGGAGTTTTTTTTGGGGGGGTATTCTGGGCTGGGTATACCTAGGTTGCTCGAAGATACCCACGATCAAAAGCTCCTTGAAGCTAAGGAGTATGAAGACAGATTTAAATCAATCATGTTTTATTTGGTGTCATCAATGCTTTTGCTCTATGATCCATTCTTAAGTCTATGTGTCTACCAGCGGCCGCACCCTTCCCGGGCTCGAGCCATAGAACCAATCCATGAAAGCAAGATGCAGTATCGCCAAAAGCAAGCCGGCGGTATTTCCTCCTGACGCCATTGCCTATGGACTGTATTAATCATTACGTCTCATCAGTAATTAGGCGGAATTCCGATGCTATGTGCTCTACTCTACGCCTTGTGACCATCCTCAACCTGCACCTCGGCAACCGTGCTGCCCTCCTTCATCTCAGGTAGCTCCTCGACCTCCGCGGGCGGGATGACGATGCCGTACTTCTCGTAGGGGAAGTTCTCCAGGTTGAGCATGTATTCGGCCCAGCCGTCGCCGACCTCGCCGACCTGGTGCAAATCCACCTCGCCGGCCTCACCAGTGCTACCGGCAAGCACCTCGGGCTCGCGGCCAGCGTATTCCTCCTTCAGCTTAGGATGGGGGACCCAGACGACGCGCATGCCGGCGCGGCGGCCGGCCTCCACGCCGGGGACGCTGTCCTCGAAGACGAGGCACTCCTCGGGGGTGATGGGCGTCTCGCCCGCGGGCAGGCTGTCGTTGATGGTGCTCAGCGCGAGGTGGTAGATGTCGGGCAGCGGCTTGCCGCGGCCGGGCGGGATGCGCTTGTCGTCGCCGAGCACGCGGCGCTGCGTCTCGAAGACGGAGAACAGCTCGGTCAGGTGGTTCGTCTTGAGGCGGAAGTTGGCCTCGTGCGAGGAGGTGGCGAGCGCAATGTGGACGCGGTGGGCGCTCTCCTTGGTCTTGTCGGCGGCGGCGGTCTTGGTGTCCCAGTAGCGGGTGCGGCCCAGATCGCCCAGCAACTTGGGCACACCAGGCAGAGCCTTGGCGCCGGGGAAGTGCTCACGCTGCAGTTTGCTCAGCTGCTCGATGTACTCTTCGCCGGTGATGGGCAGCTTGGCCCAGTCGTTGAAGATCTTGTTGGCGGCGGGGCCGGGGCGACCTTGCAGCTTCGCCTTGATGGACCACGGCAGCGAAGGGCGGTTGTACTTCTCGAGCATGAGGTTGACGCACAGCGTGTAGATGTCTTCGGTATCGAGCAAGAGGCCGTCCATGTCGAACAGACAGGCCCGAATCGGCGGGAAGCTGGTGAGAAAGACCGATATTAGCGCTCATGTTCAGTTTGGGAATTGAGCGAGCCAACAGCTTCAGGGAGCCATTGAACTTACTCAGTGCGAGGCGCCATGGTAATTGCTTGTCTGTGAGATGAGCTGATTGAGGGCAAGCTGGCCGAGGAGTTTAGGAAGAAGCCTTGCGCGCTTGATTCTTGTTTAATCGCTCAGGGAAGAATCAGGACCTCACGATGAAAGTGAGTCAATCGGCCAAAAAGGTTGGGGATGGCGGGGGAGGGGTAGAATGGATTTTAGAGGATGAAAATTCCCCGCTAACCGTCGGGTTCCAGCGGCAGGGAAGGTGCGATAAGGTGCGATAACGGATGCAGCCGAGCGTTAATTAACGGCAGGACAGGGCATTTGCAGCAAAGTTGGACCCGGCCAGGCACATGTAGTAAGGACCAAGATTAGCGCGTCATCTACGGAAAGCCTCCCTCCACGAAGAGCTACAACTGCAAGTTTTCCCACCTCGGCCGGGAGCCACAAGTGATTATGGCTGGATCAGACAACAGAAAGGACGGCAAGGCTGCAGAGGAGAACATCGAGACGGATGAGCTGCAGAAGGAGGCCGAGGTAGCTCGTTTCTCGCCAGAGGAAGAAGCTGTGAGTGCAATCAACCCCGTCGTCGAGAACGGAAATGGTGGCGCGAGATCTAGCTGACTAGTTTTGTTTTATGACAGGAGCTCGTGACAGAATCGAACACACACAAGACCGAGGCGAACGATCTTTTCATGAAGGGGAAATACGAGACTGCCATCACGAAATATGACGAGGCCGTTGCTGTCTGCCCAAGCTACCTCAACTACGACCTCGCTGTGCTCAAGTCAAACATCTCCGCCTGCCACCTGAAGTTGGAAGAATGGAAGGACGCCATAAAGAGCGCCACGGCAGCTATTGATTCTTTGGCTAAGGTCGAGAAGGAGGATGCAGAGCAAGAAGCAAAGGATAAGGAGGCTCAGCGGATAGAAGAAGAAGTCGAAGAAGAGATAGTCAGCAGTGGTGCTACTCAAGCTGCACCTGCTCCGCCAAAGGAGGAAGACGCTGCTGAAATGTCAAGGCGCAAACGGAAAGAGGATATTTTGCGCATACGAGCAAAGGCGTTGATGCGTCGAGCGCGAGCGAGAAGCGAAGCCGGCGGATGGTCGAACCTCTCCGGGGCCGAAGAAGACTACAAGATCCTTGCAGGGTTGACGAACCTCAGTCCTGCGGACAGGAAGATTGTACAGACACAGCTGAGACTACTGCCGCCAAGAACAAAGGCTGCTCAGGAGAAGGAGACGGCCGAGATGTGGTCGAAGCTGAAGGATGTAAGTTATTCCTCAACACTGGTAGGACACGTTGATCAGTAGTGCTTATCCCTCTTTTACAGCTGGGCAATGGCATTCTAAAACCATTTGGCCTAAGCACGGAAAACTTTCAAATGGTGAAAGACGACAAGTCGGGCGGGTATAGCATGAACTTCAAGCAGCAATAACTTCTGAGACAACATATATCGTTCATGATAGGCAGTTGGAAACAACAGGCTAACTAGCTAATTGCGCAAAGTGAATTTGCGTCGCCCCAATATCAAACACAGTCAGGACGTTGTTCATGAATGTGTCGCCTAGGGTAAAGGGTCCCGTCCCACCATCTTGTACGCCAACTAAGCACATACCTGCCGGCGTGGCAAAACGTTGTTGGTCCTGTATGAGCATATCAATGGCGCTGATGTTCAACACTTGACCGCCAATTTTGATGCCCATAGATGGTACACTCGCATTGCAGGGCGCAACCGCTACCCCTATCGTCGTGTCGAGTGTAGCTGGAGGGTCAAACAGGGCATGGATTTCCTGAACCATTTCTATCCAAGTTGTCAGCTCTTTACAAAACCCGAGTGTTGATGTCAAGATTCAATGAGCGTACCTGTGGGAAGAAACATCAAAGAGGTGCCGCTATCAACAAATGCCGGGAATATGGTGTCGTTAACCGTTGGCGCTTGACCGGGTGCCCCAAAGATGTATGCATCAGCCTCGATAGTGTAAAATGACAATTCAGTGGCCTCTTTTGGGTTCCTTTGGAGTTGACGCTATCAGTGCAAGTGTGTTAGCTACGGCGGCGTATGCTTCAGCAATAATTAAGCCCCCAGTACTCACGATGAGAATCGGCGTGGTAGCAAATGGAGAGTCCAGGATCATAGGCGGCACGCCGCCTAAAGCCAACATGCCACCATTTCCATTCCTTTCAAAAGCGAGGCTAAACATCGGATCCATGACACCCTGCTTGATCATAGTCGTGAGGACTGGGTCATATTCAAGCCTGTCGCCGGTCGTGGCATTGAAAGCGTGCGTTAGAAGCGGGAAAGCGAGGCCCATCAGTCCGCTTGTTACATTGTCTCCAAGCCAAAATGCAGAGTTGGCTAGCCCGACTTGTGTGTTCTTTGCTGTCAACCCAGCCAAAGTTACGTCTTGAAGGCCGGTAGAGGCGTTGATGAACTCGCCGTCCAGGAAAGAGAATTGGAGCAATTGATCAGATATCTCACCGCCACTGAATGTTCCGTTAAAGGTAGATGCAAAACCACAAGATGCTTCCTACAAATCAGGCATGCTCATAAGTTTCACATACAGCCAAAGGCGGTCAAGAATACGTACACTTGTGATGTTGCCCGCAGCATCAGTACAAGTGAACCCGTTTTGAGCAACATATGTATCACTCGAGCCCGTATCGACCACAACTTGGAAGGTCTGGCCGCTCCATTCCATTTCAACAACATATTCGAATCCTAGAACTGCGGAGAGAGACGTTGTTGCCGATTGTGCCTGACGAGCAGACAGTGGTGACCGTCGAATCGCTCTAGAATATGCCGAGGAAGACTGATCGATATTCCTCCTTTTCATCGGTAGAATGTTTCGAGAGACCGGGCCAGAGAATCCCTCTGTTCCGAAGATTGCCGTGCTGGACTGCGGCCCTATCCGGCGCCCATAGCATAACGCCGCAAAAGCAGCGGATATCAAATACCACGATGCTACCATATTAAGCGATTTCGCGTCATCAAAAGGACAGGCGGAGAAGTAAAGAATTTGAAAAGGGGAAAAAGACAAAAAGAAAGTCACTGCGCAGCGGAACTTCGAAAACGAGCGACAGTAGCCACGCACGAGAAAATAGATAGATATGTCAAAAAAGTATTTAGCGAGGTTCTTATTTCTATATGTGATATGAACGATTTTCTGCCACGATTATCAAGGTTGTGGTTTCAGGGGTCGGCTAGTCCGCGGAGGATTTTCCAAAGCATGTGCTCAGATGTCAGCGTCGCAGCTTTGTCGCATCTTGTCAGTGTACCAATGAGACAAGATCATTACCGTTCGCAAATTCCTTCCTTCGTTCAATCTCTGGAGTAAAGGATCATCAATCCCAACATTCGCATACTTGAATTTAAAGTTGACTACTCCATGCGCAGGTACGGCACAGCATCTAGAACCCTGCTGGCTAACCTAGTTACGATATTCCCAATTAAGTAACTCTATCTGGCTTTCTCGAGGCTTGACTTATTGAGGTTGATTTTCAACAACATTTGACCAGTCACCAAATTTTCGGATGACATATGAGCAGCACTTATAGATTACGCAACTTATGAAACGTAATTGAGGATCTCAATTAGTTTGACGAGGCGTAACGATACCCAGCATCTCCAAGGACACCAAATTCCTTTTTGAGCCGCATATGCTGACCAAGGCGTGGATTAGAGATTTGCTACTCCACCCAATTATCTCCTCAAGCTTTGCGGAAAGTAACTGATTATGTCCAGCATACTATCAGTCAGCGAGTCTTGAGTAGGGGTTGAAAGCATCGTCTCAGGTATAACAATGTATTACAGAGTCTTACAGGTCCGCCATACCACGTTTACAGTCAGTGACTAGTTATAGAACTCTTACTTGCAAAGATGACAAAGATTGTCGTACATGTTGTTGATCACGAATTATCGCGCGTTGTGAACCTTCCTATGCTGATCATTTTGGGAGCGCATCTCTCCGAGTTGGGATGACCAAGCTGTATCACAATAATATATCTTTTCTAGTTTCACTGGTTGTCTAGCAGCAACCTATAGCTGGTAATCGCGTCCTTCCTATTTCCGCAGTAGTCAGAAACTATAGACTATGTGCTACTAGGCAGCTTCTTAGAAGAAATGTATATACTCGAAAGAAACGCGGGACTACAGTACAGTGTATTTGATATGAGAGATCGAGCATCTTTTACCTATTTTTGGTGATCAAGGTCGATTCCTTTCACAATATTGCTAGCCATAGTCTGTATTACTTGAAATTCTGAAGTCTGTAGGCACGACGTCAGATAACTATTTGACGAGACTTTTTGATCTCCTATGAAGTAAAAATGCATTATATCTTGTTCGCAGGCGATCTACAGCATAACAGGTTCCGCTTAGTCTACCTCATTAACAGTTAGCATTGGCCAATTTGCATTTGCCGGCTGCAGATGCAATGTTACACAGGATGTTGCATTCCACAATAAGACTATGTATCTCCGGTGAAAAGACTGTCCGAGCTTACACAAAATAACTGTACACCCTCTGCCAGGAAACACAGGTTAACTCCTCACAGGTAGAGATAGTGAGCGACGAAAGTGATGATACTTGGATGTCCCGAGTATTATGTTTATTGCCATCACTCTCGCATCTTCTATAACGGTAGTAATACCTCATAAACGAGGTTAATATACACTTGCTGAACTAACATATCATGGCAAAGATGCCTAGGGTTGACCCCTTCATGCAATGAACCCGTTCTAGAGTTTGTTTTTCCAGGTGCGACTTTCGAGTAAGTAATGTGGACAAGGACTATGCCCACCATCCGGGCCGGAATGATCATATCCGCTGAATGTTATGAATAGTCTCGGTGCCGATATTGCACCCCAAAAGAAACTGCCATGAAATACCCCGCCTTGTTTCGAATCACCATTGCATGCTTCCCTGGCTGCATGATGCTACCCGTGCCGCTCGTAACAGAAATGTAGCCTGGATTGGTTGGGAGTTCTGGTGGCTTCGCTACTTATGATGAGTGGGAGTTGCTCTCGTTATTATCTTCCGCTCCTTCATCTCTAGACTGAATTTGAAGAAGGCACTGAAGATGCCTCACACAGTTACAAGCCCATTGGGCACAATTGGTGGCCTAACCATCCAAATCATTGCTATTTGTATTGTAACGACTGGACTTTTTGTTTATCTCTATTTGCGTAGTGATGGTCTGCATCCAGGAATCACAGTTGTCGGGATGGATGATAAGGGATGGCTCAAATACGAGAAGGCACGCCAGAATTACATCGCAAATGGAAAATCTCTGGTCGAAATGGGGATAAAACAGGTGGGCAAAGCTTGGAAAGCTTGAGACTGGCATGGAAGACACTGATACTTCACACCTAGCTGTCCAGGCCTTTCCAGATAGTCACCGGAGGAGGCACAAAGATCATTTTACCACCACGATTTGCAGACGAGATCAAAAACGTGAAATCACTGAACTTCACCCAGGCTGTCATCAAGGTATAGATTGGATGCATTACTCATAAGTCACGGGCACAAATGTTGATGAGTCAAATAGGAGTTCTTCGCATACTATCCAGGTTTTGAACCATTTCGGACAAACGAACATGGTGACATCGTACCTCGCATAATCCGTGTTAATTTAACACAGTCGCTCAGTAAGCGAATAGATGTATAAGGTCTTCAGCTGTTAATAACCCTTTTCCAGATCTCATCACGAACGATCTCTCTGAAGAAGCTGCTGCAACCTGCCACGATATTCTAGGGGAAGACAAAGGCAAGTTGCGCTGGTCTCAACACACGTATCTATTTTCTTGTTGGCTAAGGTGCGATTAGAATGGAAAGAGCTTACACTAAAGCCATTCGTCCTTCAGTTAGTTGCCCGTCTTTCTGCCCGTGTCTTTGTTGGCCCTGAACTATGTCGCAACCCTGAGTGGCTGGAAGTTTCCAAGAACTACGCGGTAAACACATTCATGGCAGCCAGAGCCTTGCGAAGATACCCATTCTTCCTGCGTCGTCTCGTCCACTGGTTTGTGCCCGAATGCCAAAGAATCCGACGTGATCTTCGCGAGGCACGTCGCATCTTGAAGCCGATCATTGAGCAGCGGCTCGAGAGAAACCGGCAGGCAGCAGCTAGAGGTGAGCATGTGTCTAAGATCGAAGACACGATCGGCTGGCTGCATGACGGATATCAGGAACAGGGGCTGGCGCCGGATCTGGCTACCTCTCAGCTCGGTCTGGCTATGGCAGCTATCCATACCACCACAGAGCTCCTGACTGGATCTCTACTCGACCTCTTTGCTACCCCTCAAATACTGGGGGATGTGAGAGGCGAGATGAGGACGGTGCTCGACGCCCAGTTATGGAAGAAGACAACGCTGTACCAGTTGAAACTGCTCGACAGCGTGTTGAAAGAGTCTCAGAGATTGCACACACGAGACGTAGGTGAGTTGATACACTGAAGCGTCCCTGCATGAATACGGCAGTCGTAACACTTACGCGTTGAAGCGACCATGAGACGAATCGTAGAGGACCCGCTGGAATTATCCGATGGAACAACGCTGCCAAGAGGTGCTTACACCATGGTCAGCTTCCAGAACCTCAGAGACCCTAGCATCTATCCAGATCCCGACGTCTTCAATCCCCGTCGCTTCCTAGATTTACGCCAGCAACCCGGACAGGAGAACAGGTGGCAGCTTGTGAGCACGAGCCCTGAGCATTTGGCTTTTGGCCACGGCCTTCATGCTTGTCCAGGGCGATTCTTCGCGTCGAACGAGGTTAAGGTCGCTCTATGCCATCTACTTCTCAAATATGACTGGAAGCTAGCCGATGGGATCGATCGACCGAAAGACATTGTTTACGGTAGCGAGATGGGGGTAGACGGTAATGCCAAGGTGCTGTTCAGGAGGAGGGAAGAGGAAGTACCGCTGTGAGGAAGAGCTCTAACTTGTGGTATAACCCTTTGTTCCACTGGAGACTTTGACGATCGCCATGGCAATCAAGCCTCGTAGCTCAGAGATCTTCCAGAAAGTGCGCCTTGAGTTTCTTATTCGCCCTGTCGGCAGAGCGGTGTTGGAATTGGCTGCCGTGTATCTCGAATGCGAGGGCATTCTGCTGGGCCGCGTTTTGACCGTCCTGTACGGGAATTTCGACTCGAAACATTGTTCCTTCTTTGGGTACTGTCTTCAGTTTGTTCTCCTTTGTAATGATCTCAAATACAAATCTTGAGTCTTTGATCACAATGCCTCGGATCCCTACACGGCCAACACAGCCGCTCCTTACAACTTCAACTTCTGCACCGTGAAAGTCGGCAGCGCTTAGCTTGGCAGCCGCATTTTGGCCTCCCGTATAGACTTCGTGGCCCAGGATCTCGTGCATGTACCCAAGCCAGAGCTTATGTAAGGGCTCGTAGATTGTGTACTTCTGGCGCTCGCGGGGCACGTCGTAGAGGCCGAGTCTGCGGCGCTCTCGCGATGAGAGAGGTTTTGGCTTGAGGGCCTTCTTGCGGTCCTTTGCCTTCTGCTCGCGCGCCTTTCTTCGGGCATCGCGGGCGGTTGCCGACGGCGGAGGAGAGGTTGGTCGCAAGTAAAGCGGGCGGTGCTGGATCTTCTCAGAGTAGATGCGGTTCGCCGAGTCTGGGGAATGCGCTCGAGCAAGCAGCTCCTGGACCACAGGCTGCGGCGGTTTCGAAGCCATATTGGCCGTGCAGTCAGTCGATTCTGATCTTGTGGACTGCTGGCCAATTAGCCCTATCACCGAGAGCTATTGCGGTCGGTCGGTTTAAGCTCCAGGAAGGATTGCTGACAATGAGGTAGAGGTGCATTGGATGGATGGAGACGAGCCCTGCGTCATGCAGCTTGCAAGGTTTTAGCGGAACTGTAGAGTACAGTGCGGTCCGGCACATTCACATTCACATTCACATGCCAGAGCCAGGCCTGCTGACTGTGTCCGACAGCTCGGCACAACCATCCAATGACCCCAACCCACCCCACCAAACTTGCAATGCGCCTGTGGGTGTGGGACATGCCGCCGTCACTGATGCCAATTTGCGGAGAAACGCTCGTCGAGGCCATCTAGTCTAGCGTCTCCAACCTTGCCTTGCCGTTGCATGGCTGCTCTACCCAGTCTGGATTCCTCCGGGGTGCCATGCCTCTGCAGTGGTCTGCCTCTTCACACCTCGACGACGACGACGACGACGACGCCGTTGGTCTCTGCTGGCGGATGAAGCTCGTGTCTCATCTTCATCTTGCCAGACAGTAGCAATTGATGATCCCCTTCTTCACGACGACGCCGTCTTCGAATACGACTCCGCTGCCATGTCCGACCACGACGATGCCACGCGCGACTCGGCGCCCGATCTCCAGATCCTCGGCGACCAGATCACACTGCAGCCCTCTGGTTTCGTCGAGCCACCACGAGACGAGGACAAGGAAGAAGCGCTGATGCAGCACATGGCACGGTTCCGCTCAGAGCCACTCCAATTTCTCCGCGAAGTGTCACTATACGTATCCGGAGAAGGGTGGCGGGCATACGACAATCCCATCGGCCAGCCAATCTTCTACTCTGGCTTTTCGGAAAATATGAAAAACAGCGTTCTCTCTGCGCCGCTCTTACAAGCGAAAATAGCTGAATTGGCCGAGAAACGTGTCGCGGTCGAGGAGAAGGAAGGGCTCATAAACAAGGACGACAAAGACTTCTTTATGAAGAGAGCGCAGAGGAGAAGTACGATCGAACATGGACTTCAGGCAGTCGCGGAGAAGTGGACCGACAACATGATTTGCAAGTTTGAGAGCAAAACATTCATTCGAGGAGCGTACTATCTCGTCACTCAACTATTGACACGGGCGTATCACCAAGGCATTCACGTCTCAAGTGAAGAGGTGTTGAGGTTACGAAAAGTTGCCGAGAATGCGGCACGTAATAAGCAAAGCATCATATTTCTCCCTTGCCATAGGTCTCACGTAGACTACGTCAGCTCGCAACTCATTTGCTATCGGCTGGGGATAGGTCTACCGGTCATTGTCGCCGGCGACAACCTCAATTTTCCTGTCGTTGGAAGCTTTCTGCAGCATGCTGGTGCAATGTGGATTCGAAGGGCGTTCGGAGATGACGCGCTATATACAACGCTGGTCCAGACCTATATCGACACTATGCTTCAGCAGGGCTTCAACCTCCAATGCTTCATTGAAGGTGGACGATCTAGAACTGGAAAACTCTTGTCACCTAAGTTCGGTATCCTGGGCTTCATGCTCGACAGTGTGCTCTCTGGCCGCGTCGAAGATGCTGTTATATGCCCCGTCAGCACTCAATACGACAAAGTTATTGAGACTGAAGGTTATGTAACGGAACTTCTAGGCATGCCAAAGAAGAAGGAGAACCTGGCTGATTTCCTGAGTGGAGGTTCGTCTGTGCTCTCCCTCAAACTAGGAAGGGTAGATGTGCGGTTCCAGGAACCGTGGAGCCTTAGAGGTTTCATTACCGAACAGCTGACCCGAATATCCCCTTCTCCTTCTAGTATCACAGCAGAGAATGCAGTGGCTATGGCAGCACAGGTCAGCCCAACCGTCCGCCAAAAGATATTGCGAACCTTAGGGTACAAGGTCTTGTCTGATATCAATGACGTGTCTGTTGTTATGCCTACTGCGCTGATTGGCACAGTGCTTTTAACGTTGCGCGGGCGTGGAGTCGGCAAATCCGAGCTGATGAGACGAGTAGAATGGCTCATTGCCCGCGTGCGAGCCAAAGGAGGACGTGTTGCCCACTTCCGTGAAGCTCCCCTGTCAGATGTCATCGACAGAGGTTTGGACGTGCTAGGAAAGGATCTTGTTGGTGTCGTAACCGGGTTGCCAGAACCTACATACTATGCTGTCGACCGGTTCCAACTATCGTTCTATCGCAACATGACTATCCACTTGTTCATATCAGAAGCCTTGATCAGCGCCGCTATGTACACTCGCGTCAAGCTGGGAGGTGGCCCAGCCCACCAAGAAATCTCATACCAGGAACTGCACGACCAGGTTCTGTTCTTGTCAACTCTGTTCCGTGGGGAGTTTATCTTCTCTGGAGAGGGCTTAGCAGTGAACCTGGAGAAGACTCTGAACGGGCTGGAAACCGACAATGTTGTCACGCTCAAGCGTGATGAGCAGGGGAAGATTACAACCATCGGGCTTGCCGAAGCGGAACGAAAGGCCGGTCGGGAGAACTACGACTTCTATTGCTTCCTTATTTGGCCATTTATCGAAGCTAGTTGGCTTGCTGCAGTAGCACTAATGGCTCTTACACCGCCACTTGACCAAACTGGTGACGTCTGGATCGAGGTCATGAAAGCACAGAACGGTGCGCAGTTGGTAAGATACCTGGCCACCTTGATGACGAGAGTTTAGTAGCTAACGAAATGTAGCTCGGTAAGACATTGTATCATCAAGGCGATCTCTCATATTTCGAAGCAGTCAATAAGGAGACCTTGAAAAACTCCTTCCAACGCTTCCAAGAAGAAGGCATGCTCCAATTCGTAAAATCAAAAGACACCAAAATCCCACCCCGCTTACGCCTTGCTCCTGAATGGACGCCTTCTCGCGATCCCACAACCGGAGATCTTGTTGCATCCGGTCGACTGTGGGACTTCACAGAGAAGATTGCAAAGAGCAGGCGGGAGGGCAAGAACAGACGAGATGGAGCCACTGTCAGCACGCGGGTTATAAGGCTTACGGATGTCATTGGGCGCAAGCTCTTCCAAGAAGCTGCAACGCCGAAGCTCAGTCATGATGAAGTGATGGACTTAAAGAGGAGTGTCAGGGAGGAACGACGAAGAAAATCACTTGAGCGTCGGGCGCACCTTTGAGGAAATGTATGACCATGTATACATAAAGCATTGCAATGATAGCAACTAGCTGTTCAATGAAGCGGTTTTATTGTCTTTATTTGATTTTACTTTTCATTAGGCCTTTCCTTCCGTGGCTACTTGAAGGCCTATCCTTTCGAGGGGATCTTGAGCCTCCTTGGGGATTTCTTGGGCGGCAGATGGTTGCTCTTCTGTCTGTGGTACCTGTGGCTTTAGAATGATATTATCAATCAGTCGTACAGCCGGGCCGCCGCTGTGACCCAAATTTTCCCCTTGCCTGGGAGCCTCGACTGGCAGCATCTTAATCGCACCGCTTAGAATGCCTCCTGTATTCGGATCCACACTATCCAGCTCGGCCATGGTCTCGGGGCTGGCAAGTGATATATAGTCTACCTCGTACAAAACCCTCTCTTCAGGGGCTAAACGTTTCTGTACTTCAAGCATATCAGCTGCCACTTTATTGGCGGCACCAAGGATCTCTTCTCGAGAAAGCTCGCCCTGGAGATACTTGCCCTCGGCTGCCCTGAGTGCGCGGGACAACACAGTCGCGACCTTCCGTCTTCGCTCCCCAAGATAGACATTACGAGAACTAAGCGCCAAGCCGTCAGACTCACGCACGGTAGGGCCAATTACTACGTCGATCGGCATGCGAAAGTCTTGCACCATCCTGCGGATGATCACTGTCTGCTGGACATCTTTCTGGCCAAAGTAGACATGGCTCGGCCGTATGATGTTGAACAGCTTCATACAGACAGTAGCAACACCACGGAAGAAGGTCGGCCGGCTAGCTCCTTCGAGAACCTCGCCCACGGGAGTAATGGTCACGAAGCTGCCTTTGGAGTCTATTTCCTGGCCAGGGAACCCAGACGGATACATCTCCGGGGTCGTCGGCGCAAATATCGCAGAGACCTGTCCGACATAGCCCTCTTGCCTCAGCTTCGTGTTCAGCTCGACTAGAAGCTTGCAGTCTTGGTCCCATGTTACAGGGTAGCTAGATAGATCCTCTTTGATCCCGAACTGCGCAGGATTAACGTATATGCTGACGACCACGTGCTCGTTGTCACGAGCCGCGGCCCGGATCAGGGAGATGTGGCCTTCGTGTAACGCACCCATCGTCGGGACGAGGGCAAAGGATCGACCACGGTCCTCATCCTGGAATGCCCTCCAGTTGTCCACGGAGCGAAAGACACGGATATTGCTCTCTGGAACAAACTCAACAGGCTTCGCCCCGCTGTCTCGCGACTGCCCAGTGTGTATTTGTGCCCGTCCGGGGTGGTCTTGTGTTAGAGGCGGTTTGTTGAACCGCGTGCAGTACGCCGACGATGTGACGAGCGACATGCTCGGGGCCATCTGGGGGCCGGCCGAAGTGGAGCTCGTCAAGGTGCGAGCAGAGACCGCAACGGCTTGGGCGGGCAGTCGCGACGCGGGCCGAATTGCTCGGGGGAGCATGGTCGGATTGGTTCGAGCGATGGGATAGATGGATGAGCGGGTCTTCCTAAGTGCTATGAGAGGTTAGAATTCTGCAGCGCCCCGTTGCGGGGGCTCAATGGCTTTTATGAAGGCATCCGTGATGGTTTCTGCGGCGCACATTTGAGGCCGGTTCCAGAGGTTACATTTTTATTTTGAGCCGGAGCTCCGTTGCCGATGGACGAGACCCGCCTCGGCAAAATTAAGTAATCAATCACGTGGCGCCCTTACACCAGTTTGCTTTGGACAACTCCTCTCCTTTTTGATCTTGATATCCACACGAATTGAATAGTATGGGTCTTTGAGAAGAAGCAAAATATATCTCGGATACTACTAAGTTGGTGTAGCTTTGAGTATACTTTATTGTACGACCCCAACTCGAGATGGTCACATCCACCGTAATTTGGATCTTGCTCTTACTTTGGACCTTTCGCAGGTTCTGTTTGAGCTTGATCCTTGGGATCCATCGACACAGCTCCAATAGATGGGCCACTCAAGTCGACTCCAATCAATGTGTTGCCGATCTGCAGACCAAACTTCCCATCTCCAAACTTCCACTGTGATCCTTTAGAAGCCTCTGGCTTTTCATCAGGCAAAGGGGTTTTCGCGTCTGGGTCGGCACTATACCGAGCTTAGATTCATTGCTCAAGTAGAATCAAATCAACAGTTTCCCCAATAGAATGATTACCTTGGCTTTCCTAGCCCATCCTTGTGATAAGGCGGAGGCGGGTCGTCATCCATGATACAAATTTCGTCTTCTAATACCGCAAGTGTTGTATTTATAAGAGTTGAAGAGTCTTATGATTGCCGGGTTTGCAAATTGAAGATAGGATGCGCTGGGTTTATATAAAGACCAGATTATACGTAGCATTCCATCGTTTCATGTCTTGGTGCTCGGCTGAAAAGACTTTCATCGATTGTGTTACTTAGAATTGCCATTTATCTTATCTAATCTTACCTTCCATCTTGGGCATGCATATCTGGGCAGTCGAATGATAGGTTTCCCGAGGCTGCATGCTGACGGCGCAGCGACGCCCATGCGATTGTTGTTGCATAAGCTGCATGAGTTTGAGGTCTAGGCCATGTTCTGTACATATGTTATGTCACCAAATTATTTTATTGAAGCTCGGGGGAGCATGCGTAAGGGATAGTATCTATGAACGCCGTTCATTTGTCTATCGTTTTCAAACTGTGCTGGTGAGATCGAGAACACGCTTGATCTGGTGAATTCACAGTTTATCAAAACTAAACATCTAGACTATCCAGTCAAAACATACTTACTAGAAAATTGTCCGTCCATTCCCGAAGTCGAAAGGTTGCCTTCTGGGGATTCGATTCACCTCACCCTGTCAGAACATGGATGCCCCAAGGGGTATGATGACGGCTAGAAGTGCTTAGATGAAAATTTAGAGTCATATATCGACATGGAGAAAATTAACAGATGGTGGTTGGTGCTTCGGATGCTTGAGCTAAGCTAAGTTGAACTGTGAATATATCAGAATGGATCAGGCATGTACCATCAAATGTTGGATGCTATATCGTACTCCTACCATGTTCACATACATTGCTGATAACTGTGGATGTATGATGGAGTCTTCTGAGACACAGCGGAGCTGCTTATCTATCCAAAGAGTTGAGAACTCTTGAGGTAGTGGCTCATTCCTATGATGATCAACAACTGCTCTCATTAAGTTAATATGGATTGCCAAGTAGTAACCATTAAAGTCTTCACTTATTCTCTCATTGACCTTGTATGCTGAATTGTTGATCACTGGTTGTTGCCCTGGACTCTCTCAGGAGACACCAAGGGAGCTTGATGTAAACAACTCTGAGAGGCACTCTCGAAAAAAAAACAGAAAAGAAAAGACAGAAACTAGCGTCGTGTAAGCTCATATTCGAGGATGAATCCCTTCTACAGGCATCTATTCTAAGGGAGGAATCTGCATAGTGACTGCCGCTTGCCTACCTTGATGAGTTTCGTCTGTTGTTGGTAGGTTGCCGTAGAAGTCCTTGGAAGTGAACCGCTGCCTCTTGACACCACTAGGGCATCTATAAAATCACAGCAGTCAAATTCTGCACAACCGCAACATTTCTCCCACCGCACAACCACCCACCGACAGCCATTTCCATTTCCCCCACGCACAAACAGGAAAGTCACATTACTTCCTTTCAGCATCAACCCAAACACCTATCTCCTACCTTCCACGGTCCCGTCGACATCATGTCTGATTTCAACACCAACGACGCTACGCCCACCCCCGCCGGAGAGAAGCAGACTCTCTCTGCTCGCGAGCAAGAGCTGCTGGGTAAGCTGATCAGCTGCGTGAAGGCACCTATTGAGGTAAGTTGTTTTCATCCAGCTCTGATGATCTATCCCAACCCACTGTGACTTTATCTCATCCCCACCCTTGAAAATCAGTGAGGCGTCCTTAGATTCCTCACTATGTTTTGACATCACATCTTATCTTCCAATCCTTATATCAACACACCTTCCTTTTCTGCAGCAATGCTCACATATGAGTGAAATAGGTGGATTACGACAAGCTCGCCGCTGCCATGGGCATGAGCAACGTCCGCAGCGCCAGCAATGCCTGGGGCATCTTGAAGAAGAAACTCGGCAACCCCGACCTGCTGGGCACTCCTGCCAAGGAACCTAAGACTCCTGGCTCCAAGACTCCTCGCAAGCGCGCCGCTGCAAAGGCTCCCGCCAACGACGATGACGAGAACGGCGAGGTCGAAACTCCGACCAAGAAGCGCAAGTCTGCTCGCGTCAAGGCCAACACCAAGGCTAAGCAGGAGGCTGAGCCTGAGGAGGACAACAACGCGGATTCTGTGGAGGTCAAGACCTTGCATGAGGAGGACGTTGACGATGAGGCCTAAGCCCGTCTTCGTACTTCTCTCCGCCACCATCGCCGCTGTGCTTTCTCTCACCTGACGGAGAATCTCAACCTTTAACAGATGAAGGATATCTGGAGGGCTTGGATTTGCACACCCATGCACATTTGGCTGGCATGATCATGATCAACGACATCACTTGCTTTTTGGACTCACATCTGCATGCTCGATTGCAGTCGACCTTGTCGCTGTCTATCAGCTATATACAGGGTGCCTATGACAACTTTTGATAGTGCTATACATCATCAACGAAAAGCACATTCGCATATCTGACTGCCATGCTGTGACTTTACAAATTCTGATTGATCTATGAAACAAGGTGTGCGGTTCTTGATTTAAAGGGGAGGTGACTTAAGGTTTGGCGGCAAGCCGATCCCAGACCCCTGGACCCTGAAGATCCAGCCCGCAGTCAGGGGTCTCACTGGGGTTTAGCGTGCTGAGCTGAATCCAATAGTGTGCGCCCCACACGTGATTGCCCAGCATCCAGATTCGTAAAGCCCCTCCTCGTGTTGGCCCAGGCGCCTGCTCTGGGTCTGCTGCTTGCATTGGCATTGGTGGCGGTTTCGCGTAGATAGATACCTAGAAAGATCAGCATCGTTCGATGTTCTCCTCTCTTATCTTTTTCAGCCTTTTCGACCTCTTTCTCACCAGCAACCTGGTCGGCTTTGATTGCTGCCTTTGCGTCAGGTCTTGTTGAGCTTCATCACTCTCGTTGAATTGCTTGTCTTTCGCTTTATCCTTTTTTTAATGTCTTTGTAATTGAATTGAGTTCCGGCGCTCCGGCCCGGGAAGACGTTACGCCACAATGAGACACAGTCTCACTGCCCTCGTCGCCTCGACGGCGCTGCTCATCGCTGCAGCACAGGGCGACCCAACATGGCCGTCGGAGATCGACGAACTGGAGGAAATCATGTTCCACATGATGGAGTTCAAGACGCGCAACTTTGCTGACACTATCCTGCCTTGTACGAATGAGGCTTCCGGGCCTGGAAGGCAAAACGCCGCCGAGTGGCTGCGACTGGGCTTTCATGACATGTCAACTGCAGATGTGGATGCAGGAGTTGGGGGCCTCGATGGATCTATTCAGTATGAGCTGGACACCGGCGAAAGTCTGGGTCCTGGATTCCAAACGACCCTCGAATTCATGTCCGGCTTTTACACCAGCCGTTCTAGCATCTCTGATCTGATTGCTCTAGGCGTCTACGCCTCTGTGCGGTCATGCGGTGGCCTACCTGTCCCGATTCGAGCCGGAAGGATCGACTCCTCGGGACCCGGACCCCTAGGCGTACCGCAGCCCGAGCATTCCGTCGAGATGTTCCGTGAACAGTTCCGCCGAATGGGCTTCAGCAATGCCGAGATGATTCAGGTCACCGCATGTGGGCATACCATTGGCGGCGTTCACGACACTGAATTTCCGGAGCTTGTCGTTGCTGGCGAGGCACCGTCTGACACGACTGTTGCTGGGTTTGATGAGAAGGTCATCACGGAGTATCTCGAGGATAACACGACCAACCCCCTGGTCGTTGGGCCGGCAGTCGGTTACGGCAAGGACTCTGATGCTAAGATATTTGGATCGGATGGCAATGTCACAGTAAAAGCAATGGCGGAACCAAACGAGTTTCAACGGGTTTGCCAGCAGGTTCTACAGAAGATGATTGACGTTGTGCCGCCCGGCGTTGTGTTGACAGATCCGATCCAACCATACATGGTGAAGCCAGTCGACTTACAACTAGCATTAAACAAAGGAGCGAGCAGGATGCTATTCACGGGCCTCATCCGTGTGAAGACTACAGACCTCGATTTCAACTCGATCGACCATGTGCAACTGGACTACAAAGACCGTAACGGAGGAAGCAATTGCGGCGGTGGATCTTGCTCCATCAAGGCGACAGGTCGTGGTACAGGTTATGGGCTCGATGATAGCTTTGGCTTCTTCCCGATCGAGGCTACCATTCCAACAGAGAGCGGCATCTCGTCTTTCGTGATCACTTTGGTACTTACCAACGGTACTTCTCTTTACTTCGACAACAACGGCCAGACTTATCCCCTACAGGATGCAATCATGCTCATGCACCCTCAAAGTTGTTTAATACAACATAACGGCCAGACAACTGTGACTGCAGCTGTCCGCAATGATCGAGCGCATCTCCCCGCCTACCTTTTCATTTCTTATAAGGTCCCACGCGAGGGCCTTCCGGTCGCTGGTCTACACAACATGACTATGTCTATGAAGAAGGGCGATTGTGTAGGTGCATACACGCTGTACTCTGCAAGCTGGACGATACCTGGAGGAATCAGCCACTCGGCTCGAATTGACGTCATCAGTGGAGATGCTGAAGTAGGAGATATGGTCATCGCTGACAGCTTCAAACATGCCGTGGAGTTGCCTGGAACATGTCAAGACTTCAGCGGGCCTCCCGCTTCCATGTGCACGACACTTGCTGTTTCAGCACCAGCTTCAACGGCTGCCCCATCGGCAGCAGCTCCCACAACGATGATGACGAGAACTTCTGCTTTAGCTCGTCCCACAGACTCTCCAGATTCCACGGGAATCACTGTCGCGCCCACCGAAAGTGACCGGGAGATGGACGAGTTTACTCTCACACATGCTGTGACCAGCTTTGTTGGATACTGGGTCAATTATGCGGTCAACTATTTCTGGGGGTAAGTCATTTCGGTATGATTACTTGTTTGGCGACATACCAAGACTAATCTTAAATCCAGGTATGACCGCTATCAAATGGTGAATCACCAATTCGATAGAACAACTTAGACGACTCGACCGTTCTATGTCGACGAAATGATACCCTTACGAGTGGCCAGATGGCCTCGTGTTAATGTAATATGGAGACGGAATGCACACATCCGCTAGATATTGATCCAGGAGGCTTGGGCGTTTTATGGCCAGCGAAAATATGCTTGGATACCAAAACTCTAGTGCCTCGAGGCGGCGTACTTTATGACCATTTCAACAAGAAGAAATCTGGAGTTATAGTCAAAATGAGTAATTGATTCTCTATTTCGCACCTTGAGGTCGCTGATTGACAGAGGACTTTTGCCCCCTCGCCTTGAGCACTTCATCGTGTCTTCCTTAAGGACTGTGCCGCATAAACCAGGTCGCGGACTTAAGGGATAGCCTGATCGGTGATCGACAGCCAAGTGCTGCATTGTCCAAGCAGAGACATTGCGAAGGATTGTCCTCGCCCAGTGGGTGTTTTTGAGTTGTCGGACACCCTCGATGTTGCTAGAAAATGGCTCGAAGACGCTGAATGCGAGAGGCGTCTATCGGCTGTACCATCTAAGGCTATTTCAGACAATACAGATTATTTTGGCATCTTTCATGAAGTGTTGCGTCTTGAGGGATCGTCTCAGGTATCTCTCATTCTAGTAGGGCTTCGGTTGGTTATGTAAAGCTCGAATGCACGACAATCTGCAAGCCTCTTGCTTTCCACCTTGCAACATCGAAGTGTTGTTCGGGTTCGGGTTCGCGATTCTTACGTGCCACCGCCCCCAAATCCTTCGCGCCCGGGCTGTCGATGGGGTCCTGTCGATCCTACCCGTTTTACCGGCCTCCAGCGGCCAATCGCCAGCGCAGCCGCCGTAACGGTCCCTCGGGGACCCAACCTCGACAAGCTTTACTTGGCTACTCTTGGCCGCTAGGGCTGCAGCTCCCGAGACGGCTGAGGCATGGAGATGCGAAGCTTGCGACCAGCTGCCACGTTCCTAATCCTAATTATATGACCTTGTGGTCTGCGAAGATGCGACATAGCAGGGGGCATGCGTTCATTAGAGGACGGAAGCTTATCGCTAAGTGAAATAGTCCCGGCAGTGGTCGAGAGGTTTAAGAAGCATGACGTCCCCCCCAGTTGCCCCGTCGTTTCTCTTCCACTGCTGAGCCGCTGACCTAGGCTTCATCTCTTCATCATCCTTAGTATTGGCTGTTCTTGTTGTCGTCGTCGATAGCAGCCCATCATGCCCCGATGTGAAGAAGTTGGCGAGTCCATGCCGGACATTGCCGGTATTGGAATTCTCGTGGGCTTCATTGCTCAAGCGTTTCTATCCCTTGTGCTGTCAGCATGGGTATTCTTCCTCTCGAAGCATGGAGACCTCGAATTGAAGCATCAAGAAGGATCGCTGGAGCACATGATTGAGAGCAAGAGGCTCGAGTTCGTCAGTGACGTTCTGATGGTGGGCAATGATATCCAGATGCTTACAGGTATGAATTGGCTAGCCTCTCTAACCGAGCGATCATTAGGGGAAGGGAAGAGGCGGACTAACAACGCTCCAGGGATTGCATATATGGTAACGGCATTCACGTTCGTCAAGACCATAGACCTGTATCATTTGCATTTGATGTATGATACAGTCAGCTTTGTCGGGTGAGTTCCTAGCCTTCAATTACCGGTATCCCACAAGACTTACGTCCTCTTCAGCGTGTCCAGCGCGGCAGCTCTCGTATGCTGGTCCTTCTGCGCAGCCAAGATCAAGAGCATCAGCTCCAAGTATCCGCCCCGCCACCCGACCAAGGTGCCTCGCATCTCGCGCTGGTCGCCCAAGCACAGGGTGACCTACGTCTTTGCGATTCTCTTCCTCGCCCTGACCATCCTGCTCGAGGTCCGTCTCAACGAGTGGAGCGACTCCGAGAACTCTGAAGAGCCCAAGCCTGGCAGGTGCTACTACACAAACGGCACCAGCACTCCCTCCGCCGGCCATCCCTGGACGGACAAGACGTACGTCGGCATCACGGCGGGCTGGCTGCTTCTCGTAATGGCGTCGGCCATCTTCGGACGGTCGGAACGCCGTAAGATCATCCTCATTCTCGCGTTTCTGCAGTTCCCTGTACACTTGTACATGACGATCGCGCTGCGGACCGCCAACCAGGAGCACCTTTCGGGCGAGGAGGGCGAAAATGGTTGGGATTTCGGTCAGACGACTGCGATATTGTTGCTGGGCGTCACCATCAACGAGCTAGTGTCGAAGAGTTTGGGGTTCCATAAAGAGACCAAGGCACTCAGGCGGGAAGCTCGAGGGTATAGCAGCCTGCCTGACGCGCTGGCGGCTGAGGAAGAAGGGAAGGGATCAGTCAGACAAGGCGACTCCAGGGAGGTGAATTTAAACCAACAACAAGGACAGCATCAGAGGCAGCAGACCCCGGCTACCAACGGTCGCTGAGGTCCTTGATCAAGCCTGTGCGAGATATGAGATTTATAGAAGAGAGGGAGAAGTATGCCAAGAAAAAGGGAGATTCTCTCATAATATGGGTCTGGGCTACAGGATCTTGAATCAAGATCAAGACTTGACTACCCAAAGAAAGGCAGGATGTCCTGTGAACGAGAGTCTACAACGACGCTATCCCGTTCATTATATTTGACGGTCTCGTCTTCGATATAACGCGACAATGCGCACTGAGATAGTTGACGAGAGTACAAAATAGATATCATGACGAGATGACCAATGGAAATAGACTTGTGTTAGAATAGGTTCAAGTTTCTGTCAATTTCAAATTCTAGATCGTTTAGAGGTATCGTTTCAATTTCCCCAACACCAGGCCATACAAATTCAAACACATCTGCCGTTGAGTATTTTGTCATATATCCGATATTAGCTTAAGGAGCCTCTCTTTTCTTGCGGACTCATCCTCAGTCTTTTCAGACATTTCATGATTCTTCAGCATCAGCTCACTAAGCGCCTTCAGTTCGACCAGGTCGATCGGGTTCGCCTTGCACCTTTTCGCGCTCACGATGTCCCCCAAGATGTCGACGGCGTCTACACCGCCCCTACCTTTCCTGTAGATGTCGGCGCCGTGTTCTAGAAGCAGCTGCATTTTTACTGCCATGCGAACAGCGACGTCGTCAGGCGAAGGCGTGTCGCGCATGTAGCGCAAGCCAGAGACGAGCGGAGGATCGAGACACCACTCGCCGCCGTTGGGGTCCGCGCCCTTCGAGAGCAGGAGCTTAAACATTCGATAGTCTTCCACGGCACGGTGGAGATATGTCTTCCGCGAGCGGGGCGGCATGTCTGGCAAGGCGAAGCGACTGCACATATTATCGAGGATCTCAAACCGGTCGTGGCGGATAGCCAGGTCGAACGATGTCTGATAGCTCTTCTTGGCGCACAGGCGCTCGTCTTCGTCGGGATATAGCTCCTCGAGGATATCATCTGGGGGTACGAGATACGGATCCGCCACCTCCCGCATCAGAGCGTTCGCGACCACTTTGTTGTTGTTGATAATGGCCATGGATAGCGGAGTCCGTAGCTCGTCATCGAAGACGTCGACCTCGGCGCCTCGCTCCAACAAGGCCTCTACCAGTTGGACAGCCTCCTTGCCCGTTTGAGCCATGCCCTCAGGCTCTGACCAGTCGCAGGCGGCATGTAGGAGTGTCCTGTTTGCCCAGAGTCGCATGTCCACGTCAACGCCCCGCTGGATGAGAGCTAGAGCCAGCCCCTGGTCCTGCTTTGAGAATGCCCGTAATAATAGCGCTTCAGTCGACTCCGGGCGCGGACCGTAGTTCATTATGATGTCCAGGGTAGGCTGCCGGTCCATCGTCATTGGCTGGTTGAAGATGTCGTCCGTGAGCGTGCGAATATCCCCCTCGGTCACGTTAAATAGCCAGTCGAGGCAGTTCAATAGCAGACTTAGTTGAGCAGCCTTGCCGGTTCGCGCGCACTTGCTCATCTCCCGGCGTAGTCGAGCGTCCGAGACGTTGCGCGCCGTGATGATCTCCAGCATGGACCGCAGCACAATCTTCTTGGACCACGTCCCGTCCGCCGCAGCAGGGTCGTCCGGGTCATACTGTGTAACGGCCCAGCTCAGCGCGTCGACTCCAACGTGATCGGTGAAGTCGATGCGAGCCCCTGCCTTGATGAGCAGCTCGGCCGTCGTGTCCGACGCATCATGGATCTCGTCGCCCCGCAGCCACAGCAGCAGCGCCGTCTCCCCGCCGCTGTTCTGCTCGTTGAAGTTGGCGCCGGCATCTAGCAAGACCTGCACCGCGCGATGACCGGCGTACTGCGCCGCGTACATGAGCGCCGTAGACCCGCGGTACGAGTGCCCGCTCTCGGTGACCCGCGCCTCGATGTCGGCGCCCGCATCGATGAGGCTCTTCAGCAGCTCGATGCGGGCGTCCTCCCACTCGGACTTGGCCTGCGAGGGTACGCGATCGCAGTGCGTCGCGATCCGCGCCTTGGACTGCACGCAGAAGTACAGGGGCTGGACGCCCGTGAAGTCGGGTATGAGGCGGTGAGGATTGGGATTGGCCCCTGCACGCACGAACAGACTAGCTGCACGATAGTTGCCCATCCAGCAGGCGTGGAGGAGCGGTGTGTGTCCGTCCTGGTTCTCAGCCTCGATGTCGCCGCCCAGGCTGAGCAGCTTGGGGATCGCAGAGGACTTGAAGAGATCCGTCTCGCCCTGGCCCCAGAACTGTGAGGCATAATGAAGCGCCGTGTTCTGGCGATAATCTCGCTCGTTAATGTCCAGGTTGACGTCGAGAGCGAGAAGCTTGACAATAGAGGTGTGCCCATTTGCAGCAGCTACTTGCAGTGCAGTGATCTTCTCATCACGCGACACATTGAGATTGTCCAGTCTCGCCCCGCGGAAGATGAGCAGCTCGGCCACCGCTGTGTCAGTGTGATTCAAGGCCATGAACAGTGGTGTCCAGGTCGGCCGCTCAGATCGGGGGGTGAAATACTTGCGCCAGTGCATACGTAGACAGTTGCAGTACTTGTAAGACGGGGCGTTGATATCGGCGCCATTGTCGAGCAGCCACTCGACGGCATCGCGGCGAGCATGCTTAGCGGCGACGTGAAGTGCCGTAGCAGACTTCTTTGGGGCTTTCGCCTCCTCGCTCTCGTCGACGTTCTCGTCACTTGAGCTATCACCGTCTGAGGACGAATCAAGCTGTGGCCAGACGGAAGCGTTAATGTCGACGCCGGCTGCCAGGCCGGCTTTCAGCGTGCCAATGACACCGTTCTCTGCGCCCCAGAAGAAGGACGATGCACCTCCGTGCTTGACATTATCTTCGTAGACAACGTGATTGACGATGTTGTGGAAATAGTGGCTCGTGGCGGTGAAGCTCAGCTGGTCTGGAAGCTCGAGAAGGTTGGCGATCAGGATGACAAGCTCGGCGGGGAGCTGCGTGAAAGGAGCCATCCTGATCCCGTACCTCAAGCCGTGAGCTCCTCAGGATATGAACGTGGAAGGGTAGGTATGTAGATAGCAGATATGGTTCAGGTATAACAGTAACGACAAGACGACGACAGATTTGAGGCTCAAAGTCTAAGATTTCTAGGCTCTACAACAGCAACCAGGTCACCTGTCCTGTGCTGTGCTCGTGTGACCGTGACTGTGACCGTGACCGTGACCTGACGGCGACTTGTGCTTCGTTTTCGATAAGACAGCCGCCTTTCCTCCAGATTTACAGTCAGGTTATCTTGTCCGTGCCCCGCCACCCGAGGCCCTCAACCAGCTTTGCTCTCAGCTCAATTCACCTCTTCAAAAGAGGAGCGGGGGTGGCTGTGGCTGGAGCACAAGATTGACTGGCTGCCTAACTGGACGGCTGACGGATTAGATGAAGATGAGGGAAGACAACAAGAGGTAAGCCGAATTGATTCTCAACTGAAGTCTAGAGTCTCTGGAGACAATGTCGGCGACGACAGTGAGGATGACGATGATGATGAATGACAAATTTAGAGAATCAGAAGGAAAACGGTTTCGAGGTTGTTCAACAGACGGTTAGTTAGTTAACCAACTAGCCCCAGGCAGCTCAAGCAGCTACCTGCAGGATGGATGCAACGGTAAGCCAATGGCCAGCTGCTACGCAGCCTGCCTTGTGGCCTGGCAAATGCGGCTTTCGAGGTCGATTCAGATCACTTGGGATCGAGTGGGATTCTGGTTGATTCGTGATTCGTGGCGGCCTTGTCGCCAACCGAAACCTGGAAAAGTGAGGCGTCCTGGCAAGGCGCATTGGTTGGTCACTGACTGAACTTACCGCACAACGCACGCACACTCACGCGGGCAACTCGCAGCATGCAGCATGCATCTACAGCAGCACATACAGTCTAGTCTGGTACAGTGCAGTATAGTATTGTAATGTACGGCGGATGCGATGCAACAATCCCGCTCCGGCTCCGGCATACCAACCGTCCGTCCGCCAAACTTTACTTGCCTTGGGTTAATAAAAAGTATACCAGCACATCGCACATGTAGGTCTGGTCTGCTGGTCTGAGTCTCCAGGTCACGCATCCCGGTGGTTGGGGCTCGACTCGACGGAGACGATGATATCGATTTGAGGAACAAGCAAGTTCAACCATGGATGAACCTTGTCTTCTCACCTTCACATCATCCATCAGAGCCCCGAAAGTTGAGCACAATTGTCGTCGACAAACCATGGCGAGAAAGACAGCACCCGTCGTATGAGTGACAAAACATGAATTCAAATCGAATCATCTTCGGTTCAGACGTGGTCTATCCAGCAATTGTTTCGTTGGACTTTGACACAATCTACCATCTTCCTGTGGTATAGTAAGTGTGCCAGTGGGACCAATCCACACAGAGGAGGTACTGTAGTAACTGTGGAAGAACGAAATCTGATAGAGATGTGCGAACTTTTGTATCGCATCAGAACGAACTCAAATCATAGAGAGACCACCAATTCCTGTAAAGAGTCTCGACGTCGACCCGAGATATCGGAAGTTGTGGTTGTGGTAGCAGACGGTACCATACCAGATAGCAATGCCGGTAACAAATGCAGTGGCCACTGGTCAGGTGATAACAAGAATCCGTAGCAATTAACGGAAAGAACAGAAATAAGAAATGAGGAAAGAACATGTCATCTTTTCATCTCAGCAATCTTGCCGTGATTTAGCCATCGTCAAAGCAAGCCTCACTCTTCTACTGTAAATGAGTAGCCCCAACCCCAGCCATCTCCCCGAGCGTCTACGTTAGTCTAGCGGCTGGTGACTGCTGACTTCTCACTTTTACGAATTTGGGTCTTTGTTAGGTAAACAGTGAGGCAACAAACTGAGAGTGCCGCCACTTCCGAAATTGAGCTGAGGTTCTCCTCCAACGGTTTCAATGTTGACTTCTCTTTGTGCAGGATCCTCCCGCGTATTCTCGCCATATTTCGGAGCTAACTACCTCTCTTTCACTTCACTTTTCATGTCTTGGTCATTGCTTGACGGTAGTAGCCCACCTTGCATCTATCATAGGTGGTGCGCTTGGCGTCCTGTCAAATTGGCCCATTTCGCCGCATCTCGTGGTGCGCCCAATCGAGACCTGCGCTTAGGTCAATAGAAGGCTTTAGCAGCGTGGGCTTGTCTCGCAAATTGTCTGAGAGAAGCCATCCCTTTTCACCGCTCTCACTGGACCCTCGCCACCCTCGCCAGAATTGGGTAGCCAGATTGGGGGCTTCTGCCAAGCGGTCCGCCTGTCCAAACAGCAGTGACAGCAAGCCAATGCGCTGCCATCAGCCGTTGAAGGGATGGACGTCTCGACTTTTTGGGTGCATAAACCGCACTACGCGCACAAGGCCGCACTGACGGTGCCCGCAAGGGTTCTCCGCCTCAGGCGCCAGGCTCCTCAATAGGAGGAGACTTGTCACTCACTCGCACGAGAAAGTGGATCGCCATGAAAAGGAAGCGAGGATTCAACGAGCTTCTCGCCTTTTCCTGCTGCGAGGAATCACTGCGGTGACTGCGCGGCCTTTCTCAGTAGTGACGCCCCTTGCCGGAGTCTCGACGGACGAGTCGGGTCCCTCACAGAAACGGTCCGGCCACTATGGACATCTCTTTTCAGGAGACCCAGACCATCAGGTACCTCTTCTTGGCTTAGTTGTGCGCTCGGAGTGTTCCTGCGATGCACTGTTCAGGCATATATATAATTACCATATGCCCTAATACGGGCGGCAGATTGATATGCCGTCATCCTCAAGGAGCCTTTCTCTGGTGTCTGATGGGGATTTTAATGGGCTGTCATCCTGGAGAGCCACCAGGAACCACCGGGAGCCAGGTACTATCCCGCAAACAGCCCATCCCCTTTGTGTGCCAGTCTTGGCCAAGAGGCAAGTGCCGGGATCTGACATTAAGACCGTCCTGCCAGAGCCCCCTGCGCCCCCGTATAACACGCTGGAACCAATGGCTGCGCCAAACTGTGGGGTTGAACCATGCCTGCAAGGCCTGTCTGCTAGGGTAGGCCGAGCGGCTCTAGCCTACTGGCTGCTAGTGGCTAGGGATGTTTTAGATGGAGATCGACACGCTGACCGTTCATCAACTCCACAGGTCATGTCTCTCGTGAGCACCACCAGTCCACCACTGCAAACGTCAAATTCGGGTCCCCGGTAACCTCCTGAGTCTTTGGTGGGAAGTCTGGTGGGAAGCTTCCAGGGCAGGCAGAGCTTCCCACTGGCTGCGTCCAGCTCCTCCTGCCTCGAGTGAGCGGGCGTCGTCGGATCTGCCATGAAGAGACTCATAAAGGTGAGCTCCCGCTCGCTCGGGAGAGTTTCTGTTTCTGTTGTTCCTCACCAAGCCAACTTCCAGGTCCTCACCTCCAGTCGCTCTTTTGTGTGTGCGGTGTTGTTCGGGTTTCTATTTGGAGACCGTCCTTCGTTATCATATAAAGTCACTCATTTACAACTTAAATCATAATGCTTTTCTCACGCTACGGCGCCCTCTTTGGGCTGCTGGGCGGTCTCGTCGAGGCCTCGCCCGCCCCTATTCACCGTATGGGTGACCTGATTCACCGCGGTGATATGTCAGTGGCCAAGCGGACTCTGTCTCCTTGCACCTTCGACCTGGGCAAGCAATGGCAGGGCGAGACTCTCTTTAAGGGGTAAGTAGTTGCTTCCAGGCTTGCTTGATATTTAGATCAAGGACTCATATCTTCGTACAGTGTTGCTGCCCCTGCCACTGAGACGGCCGCCGCTATCTCCCTGGATGTCAGCCTTCCTGAGGCTGCTGTTGCCGGTTCCATCACTGTCGATGTCACCGACTCCTTCCTAATTGCTCCCACTGTCCGCGTCGGCCTGGCTGATATCAAGGCTTACGTCCAACTGGCTCTCGGTGCCACTGCCGGTGTCTTCGAGTCTATTGAGCTGTTCGCCTCTGAGAAGCTTTCCGTTGAGATCCCAGGCCTCCTTGAGATCGACCTCGGCGCTGCTTTCGCCCTCGATCTCGTGATTGGCATCGATGCCGCCGTCCAGGTCCTTGCTGGTTTCTACGTCGTCTTCCCGGCTGACGCCTACATTGAGATCAACCTGCTTACCAAGGAGATTGTCAACACCCATCTTGAGGGTCTGACTGCCCAGTCTCTGCCCATTGCTGTTGGTGCCGAGGTGGACCTGTCTGCTGAGATTGAGCTCAGCCTTGGTCTCCGTCTCCGTGCCGGTCTTGAGCTCGATGCTGACCTTGACATTCTCGGCCTCGACATTGGTGCCGGTGCCGACGTTGCCATCTGGATCAGCCTCTTCGACTACACCACTGTCCTCGTCCAGACCACTGACTGCCCCGTCTCCGTCTCTGAGACCTTCGCCCTCGACGTTGGTGTTGCCATTGAGCTCGATGTTGAATTGCTTGATCTCCTCGAGCTCAACCTCGCTCCCTCGATCGCTGTCACCCTCGCCACTGCTCCTGCCGCCACAGTCTGCATTCCCGAGCTCGGCGGTGCTGGTGTTCCCAGCAACCCTGGCGGCCCCCAAATCGGTGCCGGCTCTGGCTCCGACTCTGACTCAGGCTCTGGCTCTGATGCCGGTTCCGACGCTGGATCTGACTCTGGCTCCGACTCTGGCAGCGATTCCGGCTCGGACTCTACTGCCAGCGCTTCCGCTTCTGCTGCCGTTTCTGCCACTGATGCCATCCTGAGCTCTGTTACCAGCGCCAGCGCCAGCAGCTATGGCACTGGTGCTCCCATCTATCCCAGCTCTACTGGTGGCTCATGGAACGACACTGGCCTGATCACCTCCACCGTCACGTCCACTGCCACCTACACCATCACATCTTGCGCTGCCTCCGTGCACAACTGCCCGGCCTCTTACACTCAGAAGGTCGTCACCGTGGTCACTCACGTTACCACCACTGTCTGCCCGGCTACTCAGACCTCTGCTGGCCCCACGGCCTACTCGACTGCCTCTAGCTCTTCCAGCTACAGCGTCCCGTCTCCCACCAGCCCGGTCGCCATGTCTCCTTGCCCGACCCCGAGCACCAGCACCGTTGTCATCCCGACTTCGTGCCCCAAGCCCGTGCCCACCATCACCATCGAGGACACGACCACCATCTGCCCGGCCACCTCCACTCTGGCCACTGGCACTGGCTCTGGCTACCCCTCTGGCCCGGCTCCCACCACCTACCCTGGTGAGACCAAGCCTACCACGACCGCCGAGGCTCCGGCCCCGACCTACCCGGCCAGCTACCCGGTCGTGACCCCTCCTGCCTCGACCTACCAGCCTAGCGCCAGCGCTCCGGCTCCCTCTGCGCCGTGCAGCACCTGCCTGCCCGTTGAGGCCGGTGTTGGCCGCGTTGTCGGTGGTGGTCTGATGGCCGCCCTGCCGCTCCTGGCTGCCCTCCTGTAAATTTCCTCTTGTTGTTCATAACGAAAGGGGCCACTTAATGATGTGCATTCTTGTACGATATAGCCTTGTTTTTTCACTTGTCTAAATGTTACTTTGGAACAAACATAGCTTTTGGCGCGGCAGGTCGAGTGGATATATATGGTCAAATGTTGATACCAGTGCCTGGACTGTATGTAGCTAGGGAGATCTTGAATGCCAACGGCCTTGATGCATGAGAAACAATTGTTTATTACATGTTCGCAACATTGTATCGTTGTTATTATCGCCAGCCAGATACTGTCTATTATGCCGGCAGCTTTAGTTTAGAAACGTCGCCTGCGAAGTGATCCTCTTTCCTCCAATTCATGAATATCAGGACAACTATTGTCATATACTCCATAAACACTGCCCAGCTCCAGCTTGGACTGCCTCCAGCTGCGTTTTCCCAATTCCACACTGTTGTTTTATACAGCTTTTCAATTGAGCTGCGTCTTAAGCTGTCATAGTCACTGAATAGCTCAGGTATGGTTCTTGTCAAATGTCTCGAGAAGACATGTGCCACCAGAACCCCGTCTTCAATAGCTATTCCGGTACTCTCTCCCTGAGGCGGCATCTGCACGCAGCGTCAATGACTTCGTCAATTCTCGAATCGATATCACCTTGACTTACCGCATGTGCTGCGTCTCCTAGCAGAATTACCCTACCCCTTGACCATCGCCCATTCGGAGGGAGACGGTAAACGGGGAACAAGCACCAATCCTCGCATTTCCCGATAAGACCTGAAAAGCCAGGCATACTCTCTCCTTGGAATCGAGCGAGGATATCTCCTCTGACTTTGCTCTTGTCTTCTCCACGCGCTCTCCACCCTTCCTTGGATCCTTCATGTTCGTCATCCATGCCCATGACCCCGCCAAGATAGAGGCTTTGTCTTGTTGGCTCGTAGAAAGACAATACAAGAGCCCCGTGTTGGCCAGAAACAAGTGTCGAGTCTCGAATGGCAGGATTGCCATCCGCCCTTTTGAAATCCACTTGCTCGGCCTCTGGGGTGGCGACGAAGCCATACGCAACCGCCTTTCCTGAGTAGACCTCCTTTCTCTCGGGCTCAACATGCAGTTTCCTTGCAGCAGAGTGCAAGCCGTCGCATCCCAGCAGAACATCGCCATCGATCTGCTCTCCATTCTCAAAAGTGAGGACTATCCTGCCTTCCCCTGCCGCACCGCACTCCTCATCAATCTTGATCACACGAACCCCAAACCGCACCTGGACATTTGTCCTTTCAGCAATGGCCTCAAGCATGCAGTTGACCAGATCCATTCTCTTCACACGCAGCGCATCGACATCCGGCCAGAGACTTCCCATGAGCTTACCAGTTCGCAGACTCAACATGTCAATAGCTCGCACGGGGATGCCTCGCGGTCGCAGCCGAGCCCCCACACCCACACGATCGAGGTATCGCATGGCTAAGGGGGTGAGGTTGATAGAGCCGCCGAGGGTGCTAGGCTCAGGCCGCAGCTCGAGCACTGTGATCCGCAACTGTTTTGCGCATGGTGTGTCGCTCAGCTGCGACAGTGCGATGGCTGCTGAGAGGCCTGCTGGGCCCGCACCAAGAATGAGGACGTGATTGAGGGTCATGATTCTGTGTAATCAAAACTCATACAAAGGAGGTTCGTGAGATTACGAGAAAAGGCACAAGAGGAGTGGCTCGTTTCTGTGTCCATGACTTGAATTTCAGAAGGGGTTGCCTTCTATATAAGAAATACCAACATTATGATTGACTGCCAGATGAGGGCTGCGTTCACGACGCGCATGGATGCATAGTCCATTTAGCGGCTACAAGCTTGTGGCGTCGACTCGTCGCATTCAATCCGACGGGTGTTGTAAGCTCGTGAGCCGTAATTTCGCCCAATCATATCACTGGATTTTCAGCCCTCAATCAAGTCTCAATGGTTGCATTTGTGGCAGCCTGTTTCGGTGCTATCTGCATTGGCTAGTCTGGTATGTTATCAAGAAATCGCACGTCTTGTTGTATTGCAGAGAGATGAATATGGTCTTCAATCAGGCTGAGGGATGATTCCACTTGTACGGCCCACGATTCTTAGTCTTTGTTTATCTCACCTTTTTTTTCCCCGCAAGTGAATGAAGCAATACCAAATTTCTATCCCTCAGATATGTCACAACAGAATCTACGTCTGTAAGAAGTCCCACGTGGCGCTCGCGTGTACTTTCGTGACATGAAAAAACTCCTCGATAGATGCTGACTCGTTCACCGATGCCACTGAAATCGATCATGTTAACCTTCATCGTACTTGAGAAAGCAATGGTTGAAAATTATGGTGCGCGGGACATTGTAATAGTGTCCTGAAGAGACAGTAACAAGGACCAACTTACTACTTAACGGACTGCACCCATATACGAACGCAGGCACTCCGGCATAACGATAATGCTTGCAGTCTGTGGCGCCCATCGAAGGAATCGCTACTGGCCGCGATGTTTTCGGTGCCAGAGTTTTTGCGTTGTCGGCGAGGAGGGAGACCATAGGGTGGTTCATAGATGAGAAACTGAACGGGTTGCTTGCCGCTTCATGAACAGATATATCGATTGTGGCCTCTTCATACTTTGGGATGATAGATTGTATCAGCGCAAGGACCTCTTCCCTGGTTAAGCCCACAGGTAGTCTTATGTCGAGCTCGAATGTGCAAGTATCTGGTATCATGTTGACTTTGAGACCACCCTTGATGGTGCCTACGTTGACAGTAGGTCTGAGGATAATGGTCGATGTTCCTGCCCCCATATTTTCGTCAATCGCGCGCTTGACTTCGGGTTTCGCCGCATGGACCGCCAATTCTTCCGGTATATTTACAGGCATCGCCTCAACAGCTTCGATGACTTCTGCGATGAAGTAGGTCGATGTCCGAATTGCGCCCTTGCTCAAGTTTAAGTATGCCCCGTGGGCGCCTCTCGTCTTCAGTTCGCAAGTCATTCGTAAGGTGCCCTTTTCAGAGAATCGTATACTACCACACCCTGCTGGTTCCGTGCTGAGCATTACATCTCCGCCCCAGCGATTTCTGTCTTGCTGAATGAGGTATTTGGTACCCCACTTCCCTCCGGTCTCTTCGTCAGATACCGCACATAGGGCAACACTGCCAGACAGAGAATCTCGCTGCTGGTATAGGTATGCATAAGCAACCACGAGGGATGCTGTCCCTGACTTCATGTCTACAACACCGCGTCCGTGAATCCGGCCGTCAACGATATCGCCTGACCAAGGATCTCGGTCCCATTCTTTGGCATCTCCCACCGGGAAAACATCGATATGGCCATTCAAGACCACGCGCGGACCTGGACCTTTACCACCTATGAATTCACTGACGATGTTGGGTTGTCCTCCTTGCGGGTCGATGATCTCATATGAAATGCCTTTGCTCTTGAGAAAATTGCTTATCACAGCAGCAGCTCGAGCGGTTTCTCCAGGTGGATTGGGTGACGCCTCCCTTACGAAAGCTTGTAAGAGTTGGGTCTGGCTCTCCTTATCGGCTTCGAGAGCCTGTAACATCAGCGCCTTGGCGTCCATGGCGTGTACAAGCAATGTGAAAGCTTTTGAAACGCCTAGTTGTGTGCGTCTATTTCTTTTGCCAACATTTGTTACATTAGTGTTGTGGCACGACCACTACAAATAGTCCTGAGCAAGCTCTTCTTCTTTCACGACATCTTAGTTGACTCACGCCGAAATAGAGCGTGTAAAAGCGAGACTAAGATGTCATCATCGCTAAAGTGGGGCTTGATACAGAAATATGGCGTTTATTTCCACATAGAGCAAATGTTTGCAATGTCCCTATAGCATCCCTTTCTATAGGCTTGACGCACTTTGACTATGACTTGATAACCCGTACAGCGGCCACTCATTGCAGAGGTCTGATTCGGTTGCTCATATTGTCTCTTTGTGCTTAAGTGTTATAGCTGAATTTTTTCTGGTGTCTAAAGTGCATGCGAATCCTCTTTCTGTTGCATGCCCATACATCGAGCTATCTTGCAGGTTATCTCACAGATAAAGCAGCATCTTGCGCCACGCGTACTGCGCCTGTATTGTGCTGCTGTGCCGTGATTTTAGAGCACTCAAAGTGGGGGATTCCACCCTGGCATCTGTGCCGTGAAGGATGAGCTATCATAATCGCTCTTCAAAGGATTGCTTACCTTACTTAGTGTTATCATTGTGTATTGAATATTTCAGCAAAATATTCCTGTTGGCGCATCACGTGGCATAGAGCAGGATCGGATCTTCCCATAGTTACCAAGCTGATTGAGAGTCCGCTGTTTTTCATAAAGTGAAGGTGGCGGGATATGCATCGTCTCGGACTAGTTTATTCGGACTTCCAAATTCCGTCGATCTGAGAAAAGGCTTGAATTCCCGACTTTGTTATTTATATTTGAGTCGCCAGAATATCACTAAGTTTCGCATTGTTCTTGCATGTTCATTGTCGCCTGCTCGCTCGTCATGGCAACGCAAAGTAGGATCGCAAAACTGGCAAGTATCATTGCTACGAAAACGAAGGTAGTGGATGACTATTTACAATCACACGCCGCTACCTCTCCGTCATTCACTGTAGACGGTCCCTTGACGCTCGCAATACCTGCTTCGGAACCTGAAATTATCGAGGCGCAATATGAAGTCATCGCTTGCACCGAGGAACTTAATCACCTCCTCAAGGGCCCGGCACAGGTTATTCGGGACCGGTTTGTGAGCTACATGTCGATGGTCGAGTAATGATTGTTATCCTAAATCTTATCAACAGTATTTTTCTATAGCAGATGTTCTAGAGATTCACTTCATCCACCGGTTTCAGATTGCGAAAATTGTTCCTGTGGATGGTAGTGTATCATACGAGGAACTCGCTAAATCAACTGGATTAGACATAATTGATGTCAAACGAGTATTGAAGCGTGCTGTTCTTGGTAATTTGTTTCGAGAGGAGAATGACAAAATCATGCACACACCAGCATCGCGGGTCTTGCGAGAGAACCAGCCCCTCGGCTATATAATCGAATTATTCACAGAAGAAATATGGCCAAGTTTCGCTAAAGTGAGTTTCATCTTTCCACATCACCATTCGAAAGCTCATAATTCATGAGACGGTTGAAGCATTGGATAAATTCAAAGGACGGCCACATGTGCCCGAAGAGACTGTACGTCCCTTTCTACATGAATAAAGAGAAAATTTCTTAACTACAGACCAGGGGTTTGCTCTTGCGAATAATACTTCGCAGGGATTGTACTCTTTCTTTGCTGATAATCCATCTCGTATGGGGCGTTTTGCCAGAGCCATGGGGGCATTCTCAGCAAATGAAGACTTCACTCTGGCTCTTAGCGGTTTTGATTGGGCCAGTGTATCGACAGTTGTTGATGTTGGCGGAGCGTGGGGGCCAGCCTCGATAGCTATGGCCAAGGCGTTTCCCAATCTCAAATGTGTCGTTCAGGATTTCGAAGATGTTGTTGCCGAAGGTCCGTCGAAGCTACCACCTGAAGTCCGCGACCGGATCTCGTTCCAGGCCCACGACATGTTTCAACCGCAACAAATCATTGGGGCAGACGTGTACTACTTTAGGGCAATTTTTCACAACTGGAGCGATATTCTTTGCATCCAGATACTGCGAGCACAGATGAATGCGCTAAAGCCAGGAAGTCACATTATCATCAACGACAAAGTATCACGAACACCTAACGTAAACCCGCCATGGGCAGAGAAAGCATCTCGGTATGTTTACTTTATCTTTCACCCAGCGTATCACAGAAGACTAATCTCCATGTAAGTACCATGGACTTCACGATGCTTGCCCTTTTCGGCTCCAGAGAAAGAACGTATGAGGATTGGATTGACATAATTAAAGAAGCAAGTCCTCGCTTTCGTATCAGACATATAGGACCACCAAGCAATCTTATTGATCTTGTTTGGGAATAATCTTACCGATAGCATCGCACCTAGAAGGAATTCTAGAACTCATCTGTCTTACTTCTGATAGTGTAACGCATAGTATAGAGAAAAAGCAACATCTGAGAATTAGCAATGAGCTTCAATGGTTTCCAGTACAGTTACCTGGGGGAAAACATGGACTGCCTTTGATTGGTTTTTCGGCGTCTGTCTTCGTCAGGGGAAAATGAAGACATCCAAGATCATTCTGTCATAAGATCGTACAGCTTGTGAACATTTCACTACGAAACCTAGCATATGCTGCTCAAAGGAGTGCAATCATTTCAAGGGCGAGTAAGCAACCCGCCTCGAGCATCAAGAGAAATTGTCGCACTGGTTTCGTATAATGTACAGTGAGTAAAGTCACTTCGATGATGGTTTTGGTTGTATCTGATACAACTACAAGGCTACCCTCAACTCCCACCCTAAAGAGATAATATTTCCCTTTCTTCCATATTTTTCGGTCCTTCTTCTTTTTGCGTGCAACCGATCCACCTAGGTGGTAAAAAAAGCGCACTTCACCGACTAGGCCCAATGCAGACGTCAGCCGCAACAACCGGTGATTGGTACGGTTTGTGATGTAACATGCAAATGTGCGGCTATCATGCTACACGATATGAGAAGGCAACCAATCTAGATTGTGAATCGCCTTTTGTATGCGTGGCTGTG